GCAAACATTTTTTAAGACCGAGGGTGGAAGAGGACAAACTAGTCCGAAAGAACTTCAAGAAATGGTTTCAAAAGCGACTCAAACTGTCAAGAAAGGAGTGAATGGGATTTTACTTGGCCCTCCTGGAGCTGGTAAAGGAACACAGGTGTGAAGATTCCGTATTCGGTTTTTCGACATTTTCCGTGGACCTTAAGAGATGCGTCTACTCTGCCTTTACTCATTGGCTTGTTTATATTTTGCTTGTTTTGTTTCTCGTAGTTTTTTTTTTTTTGCAACATTACCGTACGATCTTTCGTAAGGCTTCGATGATTCGTCTTACTGATCATAAATAATATTGCATTAACGCGTTGTTGGTTTCTAACCTCAGGCACCTAAACTGGCTGAGAAATATTGTGTTTGCCACTTAGCAACAGGTATGATTTTCGTTTAACAAATAGGTCTCAACGTTAATTGTTGAATCACGATCAATTGGCAAATTCACTCTGATTCATTTCCTCTTACGATAACAATAAACCGGAATTTAACCCTGCCACCACAGGATCTGAATATCAATTGTTCTCGTTATGTACTATACTTTTCAAATGATTTTAGCCCTGAAAACTTGTGATGGGGACTTGACTTTTGAAAGGGAAAGGTACATTATACCCTTTCACTCCCAAAGTCTCATTAGTAATCTTCCTTACTGTCTGCAATATAATTCTTATAATGTTAGTTAGAAAAATTTGGATTCGAATCAACTAATAATCCCCTTAGTTATAATTTCTTTATTCTCATGAGGTGTCTGCTTGATATTGTGTAAATATTTGAAGGAGAAGTTCTGTCTTTATCACTCATCGCAGTCCATGTGCTAAAATTTTTACTGAAACAAGTGAACACACAGCTATCAGCCTAGCAAAACAGTGTTCTGCTTCCAATTTTTAGGTGATATGCTGAGAGCTGTTGTGGCATCTGGTTCCACTTTGGGTAAAAAAGTCAAACAGGTTATGGACTCTGGACAGGTAAGGAAGACCTCAGATCATGTTCAAAATGCCTCTTCTCAATGTGAATTAGCCATTGTAATAACCCTATTGATACTGAGACACTTTTTTTGAGGCATGTGTGTGTAGTTTTTACAATGGAAGAGTCTTTAGGGAAGCCAGGAGCACAAAGAAAGTGAAAGTCGTAGAACAGAAAGAATAGATTACAATATGTAGTTATGAAGCCCACAAAATATTAAGTGATTGAGGGCAGAGGGGTGATGATTATCTCTGCATGGTGTTTGCAGATGCTAAGTTCAAACTTAGTCTTTTAATTTGTACTGTCTGACTTTCATCTATCTTTTAGTATAAGTTGGAGGAGCAATTTGAAGATTGATATACATCAATTGATTACTACAGGGTCATAAGTTGTTTAAGAAACTACCAACAAATTAAAGGAAAAAGCCGAGGAAGGCTTGATACTTTTTCTGGAACCCTTCCGTTTTGCCAGGTCTCCATAACAATTTGCTGGTACTGGGTCAGATTGTGTGAGTTGTGTTCTTCCCCCCAAAATGTAATAAAGTAGCCCTTGTCCTCACTGATTTGGATTGTTCTTCTCTTGTGTCCTCTGTACAGCAGAGTGACCATCAGGCCCAAAAAATAAAGTAATCCTTGTCCTCACTGATATTGGTCCTTTTTTCCTGTGTCCTCTGTGCTACTGACTGACCATAAGGCCACTTCTTCTCTTTTTTGTTACTCAGACCACTTTATGATTTTATTATGATCATGGCTGCATGGTGGTTTGTGTACAAAGCACTAGCAATGTGGCACATGACCCATCAGTACCTAGTTACATTCTGCTTAAGTGTTTGATGAAATACCTTATATGTTTTGTTATTTATGATTCTTTCCACCCCACATTTTCAGCTTGTTAGTGATGCTCTTGTGGTTGAACTGATAGATGACAACCTTGGTAAACCTGAATGTGCAAATGGATTTCTCCTTGATGGATTTCCAAGAACAGTGGTTCAAGCTGAAAAGGTAGCTACATGTACCTTGTTCCTTTTAAGATATCACTTGTAATTCTCCCCTCTAGTTTGCTGTGCATTTATTTTTAATTTAGTAAGTTGCTTAAGTGGGGAGTAGTATTCAAATGTGTAGTGTGCTCATCCAGGTGAGAGTGGTCCATCAGAGTGACTTGTGCTTCTGCAATTTGAGTTTAGTTCATCCTGAAAATGAACATTTGTCAGTGAGTTACTGTATATGTACACCTTCATGTTTGTGAAAACTCATGAATCCTTTCATTCCCAAAATCTCTTTACTAATTTTCCTTACTGTTTGCCATGGTTATAAAATACATTTTGTTGCTTTGTTATTTTTTATTGACTGTTGTAAATTAATGTTTTCATGTTATCTTGTTTTGTTTCCAATAAAGTTTTGTGTATTACATGTAGGAAAAAATTACATTTTGCCATACATACAGATATTAGCTTATGATTTTAGTTCTGAGAATTTAGTATTGGATCAAATGATAATCTTCTGCTTGATATTTTTTTAAATTTTCACCACTTGTCTGCTTAATACTGTATTGATACTGTGAAGAGAAGGTATGTCTTGGCCACATCAAGGAGTGGAAGGATTAAGAGAACACAGCAGCATATAATAGCCCGATGGAAATTTGGTACTGTGGCCTCTGTGGGATTTGGAGGGCCCCCTTCTTCAGGCCCTACTCTACTGATACAGTATCTACCCTCCCTTGGCAATGATGTTTGGTGTTGATTTTAGTGTGCATGTACAAGCACATTTGTTTTTTCAAAAAAGCTTCATGATAAAAGTACCTGTGCCAAACTTGAAGTAATTATTTCACCTCATTTTGAAGTTATTCATCTATAATTTTTTATCTCAATATTTTTGTATTTTTATATACATGTTCCTTCATCTGAAATGAATGTCTGATTTAATTTTGTGTTTCCTCCAGCTCGATGAACTTCTTGAGCAGAGGAAGACAGGACTGGATGCAGTAGTAGAATTTGGAATTGATGATTCTTTGTTGGTCCGACGTATAACTGGAAGGTAGGGCAGCTCATTCACTGGATCATTTGGTTTCACTGGAAAATTTGGTATTTTACAGGTTAAGGCACATTATGCAGATTGTATTCTAAGACATTGTGATTGATAATCCATGACATTTCATGATGTTCAGATGTTTTCTACCACTTTCAGTTTTCAACTGAAGTTTAATCATGGCCTCTTTCATTGGAAATGTTATTTTTAGTCAGTCTCTATGACTGCTCATTACCTCTCCTATGTTGCATGGCTTCCTTGGCATCATATAGAAGAACACAACTCTTGTACAGTAATGTGCCACTAACCAGTAAAATCCCTATGAAGGTTATTCCTGACCCATACTGATACAAACCCTGAGCATTCTTTTAACCCTTTCACTCCCAAGATCTAGTAAGTAACTCTCCTTACCATCTGCTATACATAGCTCACATATTTAGTTCTGGGAATTTAATATTGGATCAAATGTTAATCCCCTAATTGATATTTTTTCTGTATTCTTATCACTTGCGTATGTGGTATTGTATTGATATAGTAAGGAGAAAGTGTATCTTGGTCACTGCTGGGAGTAAAAGGAGTTTAAAAATCATTATGTCATTTGTGTCTTGCTCAGTATTAATATATATTTGTTTTCTTTTGGTTATAATTTCCTGTAAAGCTTAATTTTTGCTGAGTATTGTCATTGGATTGTGTTTGTGTGTTTTGTTCATGTTCATGTACTCAGCTCTCATGCGTAACATCTGTAAAAAGATAAAGGGCAATGGATTGTAGCATTACTTCTTGTGTTTCTTTACCTTTCAGATTACTTCATAAACCCAGTGGCAGAACTTACCACAATGAATTTAACCCACCCAAGAAACCAATGACTGATGATGTATGTTATTATTCACTAAAAGAAATTGAAAAAAACAAACAAACAAACAAACAAAAAAAGGGGAAAAGATAACATTTTAGCACATGATCCATTTTGCACACTTACATAAATTGTATCCCAGTGGGAGGTTTCTAGTAGGATAATATGCTACGTCTTTACATGTTTTGCCGTTTGTGGTTTGTGGATGGAATACTACAGTGCATTCTGTTGTGTTTTCTCATGGCCCACTTTCCATACGTTAAATTTCTCTTGTATAATTTTTTGGGACCTATTTGTACTCCTGGATGAAGAAAGGGACTGTGAGAGTGAATTGTCTTGCCAACAAAGCTGTATGGTAGGGTCCTGTATTGCGCATAATGCATTTCTCAGTATCAGCTTATGAGTTTTCATCCAAAATGAATCCGACGTGATATTTTCATTTCTATTTAATCAGATTCAGTGACATCAGTTGCTCCTTTGTTAGTTTTCTTTAATATTTGTTTGTTTGTTGGTTGTTTTTTAAATTTTTATTTACTGATTGATTTATTGGTCTGTCTGTGCAAAATTATAGGATTTATATTTAATCCTGTAGACATTCAGATCCATTTAAACCAAACAGGAGTCTTCACAAAAGAAAGCCTTCCAGGTTTCTTGTCCATACTACTCCATTAGCTTTGATTCCGATCAGCGTCTTTGTTAAAATTAACACGAGCACATTGTCGTTTCCAGATCACTGGTGAACCTCTGGTTCGTCGGTCAGATGACAACGAGGCCACTCTAACAAAGCGTTTGGAAGCTTATCACAAGCAGACATCACCGCTGGTTGATTATTACAAGAAGCGCGGACTCCATTCCAGAATCGATGCTGCTGAAACCCCGGATGTTGTTTTTAATAGTGTTCTGAATGAATTTGAAAAAGCCAGAGCTCGGGCAAAGAAATTTTTTTAAGGGCGAATCTTCTTTCGGGTTTCAAAATGAATTAGGTGGTAATTTTCTTAGGAAAATCATATAATGTTTTCTTGTTACTTATGTAATGTGTGCAGCAATAAATTTCCGTAGGAGTATATTCAAAGTGAGTTATGGTCTTTTTCCAGGATATCCTTGGATAAATTAACCTTGAGCTCCAAGAAATGATTAACATGTTACTTCTCCCTACAATAACCATATATTATCCAGCACATAGGTGGTGAGAATATTTGATGTATCAGGTAGAAGTTGCTATCTTGATCTAGCACAAACTTCTTGTAACTAATATACAAGGAAAATTTGCAGCAGCTAGAGAGGAGAATTAACAATCAGATCTTGGGAGTTAAAGGGTTAAATCAGCACAAAAGATAAAGATTCTCAAATTCGCTACCTTGCGATTCCTCATGTCCTGTATTTCTTTCCTCAAAAACAAAACAACGCTGTCTTAACATCACAGTTATAGAGATCACCTCTCTTCCTTCAACAAACTTCTGTTTATCAGCCTTTATTTCTGCCATAAGCGAATTAAAAAGTCAAATTACTGCCTTGTTCCAAATCTCGGAAAGTCCATTCTTTTCTATGCTTTACACTTCGCCCGAGAATTTGGAGGTGTATTTAAAGCGCATTGCCCGGGCGAAAAGTCTCTTAGTTTCCGTAAATCGTCTGTCTGACAGTGTATTGTGAATGTAAGGAGAGGTAACACACATCAGTGGCAGGGTTAAAGGCTCCATGCTCTGTTCGGGGTATTTTTAGGCGAGAGATAAATTTAAGGCATTCTTTAGAGAATTGAGGTGTACATCTTGGGAGTGACACGACAGCCAAAGTTTTCTCGGGTGGCCAGCTACGTGAGGAGGGAGGTATTGGCGTTTGTGGTGTTGCGTTAGTACTGTGAATAAAATCCATCGTGGCGGTGTTGCGGTCATCTCAAATCCTAGGTGTTGTGGTTTGCGACGAGACGCCTAAGATTATTTGCGTTGTTGAGGTTTCTTGTCAAGTCAACTCCTCTGTAGTGCACATGTAATTGTTGACCCTATCAATCTCCACGTCAGAACTAAATTTAGGTCAGTGAGAAAAATGCCGATTAGTATGTAAATCGACTTTATTCACCCATAGCATGAAAGTGCGTGGTATGGCTTAGGGATACGTTTATGTGGGACTAATTAGTGTCAGAAAATCGTGCACGAGTACAAACCGGTGTCGGTGTCGATGTTTCATCAAGTTTTCGAGCGGTGATGCAATGTTTCTAGGCACCTTTACCTAGGATCCTGCATTTAAGTCTCTAGCTGACACAACATTTGTTCAAAAGTTCCGTATTCGCTACTGTCGAGATCGTGTTTAAGCGCCCGTCAGCTCAATTTCGTGCCGGAAGTCTGCTGTCAATGCCGAGCCTATGTACACCTTTCAGTCATTAGCTTCCTTGAAATTTACATTTCAGAATTAAAGGTTCAGACAGTAGATGGACGTGTTTAACGAGCGGTGGGTAAGCGTTATAATTCAGTTATTCAAAAGATGTTTGTACTCAGTATGGGAGGAACGATGGCAACGGCGGAGCGAAAACATGCGAGAGGCTTGGATTAGTTTTGTGGCCCGACCCAGAACTCACTTAACTTTTTTCGCTTCGCCGCTTTGCCGCCCTCCATTTTATTCGCTGACAGGCCAACATATTCTTGTCTTTTGAAACTGAATAGAAAAGAGTTAAATCCTCGTAGATTAGGTGCATTTGCGGTTATAATCGCCCAGGGAAATATTTCATGAACGAGTGACCCGATTTCATTATTTACTCAGAAAAGTCGCCAGGCACCTTTTCAACATTTATTCCGTGCGCTGGGTGAAAACCCGCGCTTGTTGGATTGGTGGGAAATAAATGACAATTTTCATTGGGCGAACAAAATAAGAAACTCGTTAGTTCCGCTTAGGAATGTAGCGTTTCCTTTGAAAAGTTTACGACCGAGTAAAGAATATATTCGAAACGAAACTAATGGTTCAAGCATTCAGAAGCTAACACTACTAAGTTAAACACTTCTTTGGGTGTATCAAAATTCTTCTCTATGGCCGTCCCAGTTCTAATGGTTATTTTTAAGTAACCTATTGTCCTCACTTCACGTCAGAGGAGCCGTCTTCGTGCACCTTTGCGATCGCGGAGGTTCAGGTCGAGACCGGAGGGGGTGGATAGGAGATGAGGAGTGTCAACCGCACATCGCCAGTTCTCGCGCCTTGTTCAAGGTATCCAGTGCAGAAAGACGACGTGTTCACGATACTTAATAGTGAAGTCAATGAATTGTTAAGAAAACTGCTCCCTGTTTGGCAGCACTCACCCATCCAGAGCATATGAAATAAACGAGCGAGCTCCTTCAACCTCACAGCCAGCCCTCCAAGAGGTCATTTATCGTGCTGAGATGCGTTCTCTTTGTCACATCATCACCTGGGGCTACCGACATTTCTGAGAACAAATAAAACCACCGCTGTTTAAAATAGGAGAACCAACGGAAGTGACCTAGTTTGGTTACAGAAGTTACAGAACTCATCAAGAGACTATCATGGTCTGATTAATGATCCAATGTGCGTTATTGTTTTGACAGAACTTTGCATAGCTTTATTTGGTGTTTCAGTGTCCATGAATTCGAAATTAATTTTAACGTGACATTCAAAAAAGTTTTTCAGGAAAGATTTTTTTCATGAATGACTAGAAAACTTTTTTTTGAAAATGCATTCTTCAAAGATTGACCCACTGATTTTCTGTATGAACGTTGGCCGGCGAGTCTCTTTTCTTTCGTGTTTTTTTTTATTTTCTCTTTTCTTTCGTGTTTTCGCACCGCTCTATCCATCTTCGATAACTAATCATTCCCTCTGTCAAGGAAATCAGGAAAAAAAATCAAAACTAGTCTAATTTTTTCGTCCTCGATGTCATAAAACGATTAACGGCTCGCCGCTCACCGTGACGGTCTAGGAGACGATGAAACTCTTCAGTGTGTGACTTTCGATTGTGTTGCGTTACTAGCACGGAATAAAATTTTAATGTGATCTCCTCCAGCAGACGTGTTTTTTCAGCCTTGAGTCACGTCCGCGATTCGGTACGTGCGGTCATGCTCGAACAAACGCGCTGTAGCCGTGAACAGAATAGAGAAGTAGTTTCACAATACAATAGGACGATCTGAGTCACAGCGTGTATCATGTTTCACTTTTCTTAAATGAGAAATCATCTGACTTTTGAACCGAGGAATATGAAAATAAAAGTGACGATTATACCAGCAGTCTAAATTTGTCCACTTATCGAGGAAGGAAAAGTATACTTATCTTGGAGAAAAATATCGTTTTAAGTCCCTTCCAATATTTTTTTTTGGTACTTTATCGGTTTACAGGATCTGCCCTGCGAGTAAAATAGGACGAAAGCTCTTGTGAAACGAATCAATCAAGCGGAAACCGGAAGTGACATTTGCTTATGTTTAATCCTCTGACGTAAATGGAATCTCCATTTATAGTTGGATTTACTTCAACAGACTTCTATATCCCTTGGACAATTACACTGTCAGGAGTTTCCGTCGAAATCAAAGGTGAAACTGTGTTGGTTATCCATCCTGACCATATAAAAGCAGTGAGATACTCAAGGATTTCCCCACATTAATCTGTGAAGTCGTACGGATCGTCGTAGAAACATTCAGCTTTGAAATATTCCATTGATCTGAGGTCAAAACAATCATTGTTCAGCGATTCATGGCCATTTTAACGACCCGAGAAGCGACGCTAAAAGAAGGGTACCTTTTCAAGCAGAGTAGAACTGTTTGGAAATTATGGAAAGCACGATTTTTCATCCTTAAAACGACTGGTTTGTTCTATTACAAGAAGAAGAGTTACTGCACCGGTCTGGCGCTTGGGGTGATATCATTGAAAGACATTTCAATGCAAGTTGACGAGGTTGGCGATCGAAGGAGAAAGTTCTGCCTAAAGATTAACGCAGATGGGAAGAACTTTTCTCTTTGTTGCTTTTCCGAGGACGAAAGAAACTCGTGGATGACAGCCATATTAACAGCTGTTACATCGTATGTTATCAACCATTACGAAGGAGCGAAAACCGACGAGATCAGTTACATGACAAGAGGTAAAAGTCTATCGCGCTCCAAGTCTTTCGATGCAATCACTGGCGCGAAGCTTAATCCTCCGAAAGCTTCAACCCTGAGTACCAGCGCTACTGATCTAGATCGCATAGTGTTGCGAGATGCGAAGTCAACTCCGCTCCCGAAAAGAAAGCAAAAAGCATTCTCCCATTGGGATTTCAAATGGAGAAACAGCTACATAAGCTTTGACGTGATTTGATCGGCGAGAGAACATTAATTTTTTTTTATTGAGACGAGATTGCATCAGTGAATTAAATTATCAACTGAAATACAGGTCATATTTTGTACATACATCTTGGATGATTTTTGTAATCCGCAAGGAAAGAAACATTGACGTTTTGAAGTGTACGGATAGAAACCACAAGTTAAGCGCCGGAAGTTGCAGTATTTGTGTAGGCTTGGAAAATATTATACCTACGTTCCGTTTGTAAAGAAACCTGCTCGAATAATAGCGATATCTGTATTAATGATATTATTGTAAATAGTATATCTTTTTGTAAATAACGATATCAGAAATGTTCTAATATATGCTGATTACATGATTTGATACATAATAAAAAAAATCTATTTAGAGCTTTTTGTTGAATATTTGCGGACAACCAATGACGTGCTATGAGATATTTTATACTTGACGTATGCATCGTTTCAAATTAACCGTTTATATCCATAGAGCTGAAGTAATCTGCCATGCATTTGACTTCATAATCTTTTTAAGAGAGTCAGTCAGATGAAGCCTCTTCCAAATTTGTATACAGACAAGCACATGCTCAACGATCACGTTTTACATTCTCAAAACCTCGGAAGTTGATGTATTTGTGATCTTGAAAGAAAAATTCAGCTTTAACCGTTGGCTTGAAATTTTATGCGGTCATAGGAAAACTCGACAGTGTGGGCTTTTCTGAGAATTTGATGCCAAAGGTGAAGTTTTGACGTCGATTGCTGATTATCCCCAAATTAATAGGTTTGATTCAGAGGTATGCCTCGATTTCAAGTTGCCTTTAGTTCGGAAATTAAGCCGAACTCCAAACGGAACTCTGAACTTAAACAAATGATCTAGTTTTGTGAATGATTTTTTTTTCTGCGCTACATATGCACGAAAAATAAGCTAGTCTTTTTCCTGATTGCGAATAAAAAGTCTTTGTTGCTTCGGGGAAGGTGACCGAAGGAAGCGCAATATTTCCCGTGAAATCGTTCAGTCTCGCCCACAAGGCTGGAACGCTTTTTTTTTTTTTTTGCGGTATTCTCAAGTGGTTGAAATCACTAAGTCATCACTAAGACAACAGTGGGAACGCCTTTTACGAGAAAGTACTAGGTCTGGAAAATCTCTCATCCAGCGTAGGAAATATTCCGCATGCCGTAAAGTCCACTGTCTTACGAAATACAAAACTAACCACTATTTGTTGTAGGAGGATTAGTTCATGGTATTAACGTGTGCAACAAGCATTTTATCACCGTATCCATCGATATCAGCAAGTGTTTTTAAAATCAGTTTTGAAAGCCAAGTGTTTTAGTTTTCTTTCTCCTATTTGGTCATTGAATGTTAATATCACTGATATTAATTGTTAATCAAACATTTCGCCGTGGCTGAACAAAAATGAATACAATCACAATAATCAAAAACAAAACAAAAAAAACTAAAAATTACAATAAACTCAGTGCAGAGAAAAGAAAAAAGGTTTTGTGCTGCTAAAGTGAAAAAGATCACGCCTTAGAACTGTAGCTCACCAATCTCGAGCCTAGGGTCAATTTGGCTCCTTGTCAGCGGTATAGTCGTCATTTTTCCTGAAAAATATGTAGAAGAAGCTTTTAAATCTTGGTTGCTAAAGAAACGTCAGGTAACATAAATAGACACCTATCCTATGTTCCCGTATAGGTTGCGGGCAATTATCCGCTTGAATGATTTATGAGTCAGAGGGAGCAACGCCAGTTCTACACTTTGTCACGCATTCTAAACTTACATGTAACACTTGTATAATCATTTGTATCTCTTGTTATCTCAGTTTCTGATTTAAATCCGTACTTTGAGTTCTTTAGCGATGTACAGTAAGATCCGCTCTCTTGGCTGCTTAGAAAGAAATTGATCGATCCGATTTCTCCGAGTGTTATTGTTGTTCCGGTGTGATAGTTTTTTATTTTGTTTTGTTTGTTTTTGTGTGGTACGTTGAAGATAAAAAAAAATGTCTGTTGATCAATACATGCTTTCCTTGAGGTAACTTGTATTCAAGATGATGTTCATGCCCGATTTTTAAGCGAACAATTTGCATTAAGGTTCTACGTTTTGCTCTCTGCTTGAGTTCCTGTATGAATTAAATATCCATTCAACGTTTCTCGGAAAAACTTACACTAATTCTACATATTCTAAGAAACATACGAGATGTTTACTCTGTACTGTCCAATTTCCAATTCAAAATAGATGTGCGTGGTAGGACTAGACTGCGAAAGATCACGTAACTATACAGATTATCATTAAACTGAACGTTTCACATCGATACTGAACGTCTCACATCGATTTTTATCGTTATAATTATTAGAATGAGCTTGAATGAACATTGCGGTTGGACACTGTGCAGTAGGGCGAGCTCAATTCTTAAATAACTATGTACAACATGCTTTTGCCTCTGTTAATCGATAACAAGCGCTATTTCTCTACGCATGACTTAGTGTTGTTTTAGAATGTTTCCGTGTTTATGTTATAATATATATGAAATAAATCTACGTATTACTCAATAAATATGTAACCTTTGTTTGTTGAAATTTAAATCAAGCGCCTGAATTTCCTTGCCAAGATGCCTAGTTAACATAAAGACCAGTCCAGGTATCACCATGGCTGCTATTGGCAACTCAGTATATTGCCGTGCAACCGTGCAGAAAGCTAAGCCATTTCCACCTCCTGTGGAGGTTTGCGTGACTGCGTAATGTTCACAACGATGGTCTAAATTTCGTCACGCAAGAAAGGGATTCTAGTGCGCCTTTCATTTCCAAAAGCGCTGTAGAAATCAAATAAATATTAAGTAAACAGATAATTAAAATGGAAAAATAATCAACCAAAGAATACTGAATTGATCAGACGGGGAATTTTCTAGAATAGCAACTGGAAGAGGTATATACGGAACTCAATAGGGAGAGTGTCTGCTTAGAATTTCAAAGTGAAAGGGTCAGTATGACTTGGAGTAATCTTTCTTCCTAATTTGACCTATATTGGAGGAGTGGAAATGAAATGAAAAAGTAATGATAAAGAGGGGAAATGAAATAAAGCAGACAAACGATAATTAAAAAATAATAATGATAAGAAAATACAGGATCTGCGCCGCGCGGAAACTGGTGATGAGAGTCTCAATGGGATCTACTGTTTGCCGTTGACAAATTTTTTAGGGCCTATCCACACTAAGTCGTAAAAAAATTAACCGTAAAAAATTATCTTGAGAGAGCAATGGAAAGATATAAACCATTAGCCGTAAAATGGCTAAAATTTTAACCGTTTCTCGTGGAAGCCATTATCCCATTGAGACCCTCTTTATAACGGAGTATGATTTAACTTTAAGTCAATGCTTCTTTTAATTAATAAGTATTCTATGGTGGTTCTTGATATTTCTCAATTACAGAAAGTGAAAGAAACATTGACGTTTTTAAGTGCATGGATACCACACATCTATTAATATAAATCAACACATCTTTTGTTTAAGTCGAGTGCCAGATGTTGCGGTATTTGTGTAGGCTTGGGAAATATTATACCTTCGTTCCGTTTGTAAAGAAACCGTGAAAAAGTTCTCGAATTATAAGATCTCTGTAATACTGATACCATCGTAAATAGTATTTCTCTTTGCAAATAACATCGGAAATGCTTAATATATGCTGATTACATTATTGGATACGTAATGAAGAAAGAATCTATTGATAGACTTTTGTCAAATATTTGCGGACAACCTATGACGCGACGAGCTATTTAATTAGACATTTTATACTTTACGTATGCATATCGTTTATAATTAACCGTTTATAGACCTTGAGCTGAAGTAATCTGCCATACATTTGACTTCATAATCTTTTTAAGAGAGTCAGACGGAGCCTCTTTCAAATTTGTATACAGACAAGCACAAGCTCAACGATCACGTTTTACATTCTCAAAACCTCGGAAGTTGATGTATTTCTGATCTTGAAAGAAAAATTCAGCTTTAATCGTTGGCTTGAAATTTTATGCGGTCATAGGAAAACTCGGCAGTGTGGGCTTTGCTGACAATTTGATGACAAAGGTGAAGTTTTGACATTCGATTGCTGATTACCCCCAAATTAATAGGTTTGATTCAGAGGTATGCCTCAATTTCAAGTCGCCTTTAGTTCGGAAATTAAGCCGAACTCCAAACAGAACTCTGAACTTAAACAAATGAGCTAGTTTTGTGAATGATTTTTTTTTCTGCGCTTACATATGCACGAAAAATAAGTTTGTCTTTTACCTGATTGCGAATAAAAAGTCTTTGTTATCCAATACTTCGGGAAAGGTGACAGAAGGAAGCGCAAAATTTTCCCGTGAAATCGTTCAGTCTCACCCACAAGGCCGGAACGCGTTTTTTGCGGTGTTCTCAAGTGGTTCAAATGATTTATCACTAAGACAACAGTGGGAACGCCTTTTACGAGAAGGTATTAGGTCTGGAAAATCTCTCATCCAGCGTAGGAAATATTCGACAAGTCATAAAGTCCATTGTATTACGAAATACAAAACTAAACACTCTTTGTTGTAGGAGGATTAGTTCATGGTATAACGTGTGCAACAAGCATTTTATCACCGTATCCATCGATATCGGCAAGTGTTTTTAAAATCAGTTTTGAAAGCCAAGTGTTTTAGTTTCCTTTCCCCTATTTGGTCATGGAATGTATGATATCACCGATAGAAATATTGTTGATCAAACATTTCGCCATGGCTGAGCGAAAATAATAACAATCACAATAAACAAGAACAAAACAAAACAAAACTTATGGTGAACAAAGTACAGATAAAAGAAAAAGAGTTTTGTGCTGCTAAAGTGAAAAAGATTACGACATAAAACGGTAGCCCAAGCTTACTTTGAAGAGCACTACCAATCTCGAGCCCAGGGTCAATTTGGCTCCTTGTCAGCGGTATGGTCGACATTATTTGCGTAAGTAGGTCATGTAAGGGTAATTATTATGGACTTCACTGTACGTTATAGTAAGAAAAGGACATAATATGTAGTGAGTAGATAATATCTCGCCATTGGCGACCATACCGCTGAATAGGAGCCAAAATAACCCTTGGCTCGAGATTAGAGTACTTGTCAGGCTTGTTAAACAGCCGCTGCTCAGTAAGTGAGCCCACTCTACAGCAGAAATCAAGGCTAACTACGAGAAAAAAGATAATTTTGGTGTTATCAACCGAGTTGATAATGTAAATAATGGGCCACCGAAAAAAGTTTCAAAGCTGAAGTTTCGAGCGTCAGCCCTTCTTCGGAACGTTTCGTCTTAGTTACCCTTAGCTCCAAATCTACATACCACAAGACAAAGCAATGAAAATTAGAGAGTATCACCTGACATTGCAGTGCTACCCAAGCATATGTAATGGTGAAAAATTTAAAAAAACCTCGCTCATTGAGGGCACAGTCCCTTTCCTAAGAAATATGCAAATGAAGCTTTTAAATCTTGGTTGCCAAAGAAACTTCAGGTAACATAAATAGACATCTGTCTTATGTTCCCGCATAGGTTGCGCGAAATTATCCGCCTGAATGATTTAGGAGTCGGAGGGAGCAGCGCCAGTTCTGCACATTGTCACGCATGCTAAATTTACATGTAACACTCGTATAGTCGTCTGTATCCCCTGTTATCTCAGTTTCTGATTTACATCAGTGCTTTGAGGTCTTTTGCGATGTGCAGTAACATCCGCTCTCCTGGCTGCTTAGAAAGAAATTGATCGATCTGACTCCTTCGAGTGTTATAGTTGTTCCGGTGTTGTAGTTTTGTTTTGTTTTGTTTTGTTTTGTTTTGTTTTATGTGGTGGAAGATAAAACAATTGTATGCTGATCAAAACATGCTTGCCTTGAGGTCGCCTGTATCCTAAAGGATTTCCTTGTCCGATTTCAGTTTTGCGAACATTTTGCATAAAAGTTGTGCGTTTTGCTCACGGCTTAAGATTCCTACCCCCCTCTCCCTTGGAAAGTTTATTCTAGTATTAATTAAATATCCATTCAACGCTTCTCGGAAAAACTTACACTGATTCAACACATTCTCAGAAACATACGATATGTTAACTCTGCATCGTTGAATTTTCAATTTAAAAAAATGCGTGGGAAGACTAAACTGCGAAAGACCACGTAAATATACGGATTATCGTTAAACTGAATGCTTCAAATCGATTTTATCGTTACAATTATTAGAATGGGCTTGTATGAACCTTGTGGATTGAACACTGAGCAGAAGGCCGAGCTAATGAGCTTCCCAACCACCCCACACCCCCCCTTTACCCGTCAACCGTATCAACCTAATCTGTTAAGCAAACTCCTTGTTTGAGCTCCATTGCCAAATTTCCACCTCTCTAAGGTTTCTTTCTGTTTTTACGTGGTTACTCTCGATCGTTCCCGATGGCTACGAATATTGGCGGTGGATCGCCAGATTTTTCACAGCCCTGGAAATTTAGCGATGTTATTCTCGTCGTCGATGAACAAAACTTCCACGTTCACCGAGCCATACTTGCCTTTGGGTCGCCTGTGTTTGAGAGGATGTTTAAATCAGAGTTTAAAGAAAAGTGGAAGAACGAAATCCCTCTCCCTGACAAAAAAGCGAGCGAGTTCGAAGAGTTCCTCCTGCACATTTATCCCTCTGGAAAAGAGAGAGCAATAACGACAGAAAACTGCGACTTCCTGCTAAAGCTTGCTCACGAGTATCAAATGGCAGCCATTGTGGAGAGATGCGAAGATTTCATGGTCAGTAAGGTTAAGGCAAAGCCGAATGATAGCATTCTGGAAGATTTGGTGATTGCGCAAACGTACAAGCTAGAAAAGCTGAAATTAGCCAGTGTTCAGCGATCACACAGTCTTCGTTTAGGAGAGCTTAAAAGCGACAAGACATACGAGCAAATCGAGCCAGAGAATCTTAAAAAAATCATGGAAGGAATTATAGAGCGATTGGAAAGAGAATTGCAGGAGTCCCAGTCGGTCTCCACGACTCGGCAGATGGAAGTTGAAAGAATGAAGCGAAACCAGAAATATGCGAGAGATACAGGCTTACAAAGCGTTGAGAATATTGCCAGGCTATTGGTTAACCATGCTGCTAATAAGGGCATTTATACATTGGTGAATTGTTCCGAAACAAATGGTCTTCTGGCAGCTTTAGGTCAGGATTATTATGAAAAGAGTTGCCCGTGTTTGGGCTTAAGTGGCACGGTTAAAGACCTAAGACAACTGAAACAACTGTTAGAGTCTTTGTCATGAAGTGATTTTGCACATGAAACTCGGTTTATTTTTGTTCTGTTTTGTTTTTGCGAGATTAGTAGGCAAAGGCAAAGAAGCTAAAGCCTGAGGAGTTTGAATCTGATCTGTGTTTGAGTGCGACATCAGATTTTTTTGCTTTTTTCATAAGTAAAGTTTTCTTTGAATGGCTTTTTATTTCATACATACTGAGATTTACACTGTGAAGTCGGTACTCTTGTTCGTGTCTCTGATTGGACGAAAGATGTATTTTCACGTCGCTCTCCCCGTATTTCATGGTGTAAATCTTAGTATATATGAAATAAAAACATCGTATCATGGAGATTGCTTGAACAACTTTTATTTACGAGTTGGAATGCATAAAAAAACTCCCTCGTTCGTTTTTTTTTTTTGATGCATCGCAACTCGTGAATAAAAGTATTTCGCGCGCACTATCCATAGAATAATCTCTTCTTCGTCGAAGCTTCCAGAAGTGTAAGCGAGACAGTTTGTAATAAGACTTAGCTACTTGTCTTTGAAGGTCAAGCTATATGAAACTTCCAACGAGTTCAAGATTTTATCGTATTTCTATGTTTTATCATTTTCCAAATATTTTAGGAGAATATTTTATTAAAAGTTGCTGGAAAGTATGGTTGGGGATTTCTGTTTAGGTTGATTACTTCAGGCTTCAATCAATAACTAACCTTTTAACTGACCTAATTGTTAACTCGCTTACGTCACTAGAATTATTTGCTCACGTGTGATACAGCTAAGAACTAGACAATCCATTTCCGTTCAGAATTGTAAAACCACCCTCTGATCGCAAAAAGCCCGGAAAGCGCTTTAAATATCTGGAATTTAATTTTAATGTCCAATCAAGAAGTAACCACGAATTAATTGACAAGTAACATTAAGGGCTTAGGAAAAACGTGAAATATATGAAGGTTATAAAACCTACCCTCTCTCGGTAAGGGGAAAACAAGTAGAAATAATTCATTTCGCCCTTTGATTCGAGATTAATATTATGGAAAAAAGAAAGAAAAAAAAAGGAATTTGTACACTTCTTTATCAAACAGGAAGGAAAGAGAAAGTGTGTTCATGTTCCTCACTGCATCCTTCGAAGTTTCACAAGCCAACATTTGGTGGATGCTAATACAAGAAAAATGTACTGCAAAGTCGCAATTTCCATCCCAAGGATTCAAGTATCTCTTTCATGGACTCTAAGTACCCCCCTAGTTTTGCTCAAACTTTTGCAAGGTGACCTTATAGTCGATCTCTTATATTCGGAACATCTGTCACGGTCGAATCTTAAGACTGCAATATTTTTGTCAACATTTTCAAAATATTTTCTTGCATTGGGTCTGCATTTTGAAGGCATGGCATTACCTGAAAAACGCTTGCTTTACCTCGCCTCATTCGTATGGATCGTAACTAAGGCAATCTTCCACCACAAATCATGTAACATTTAGGGCTTTTAGAGCACGGTTGGATTGACGTGACATGCAGGCAAAATAATGAGCTGTGACTTTCATTACATTTGCGTCACCCCAACTCATCGAATGTCGCCTTGAACGCAAAACAAACGGTGGTTATTCGCCATCAGTTTAAAATATTCTTCAAGATGAGCACATATCTGATGAGCAATATAAACATGCTAAACATGTGTAGCAGACATTCAATCTCAAGACAATGGGTCAGTATCATGATCTGTGATCAAATATTCTTTTGCTTAGTGATGTATTTGAGAATTTTAGACAGACCTGTCTGCAATATCTCAAACTTGATCCATGCCATCATTTTACGTCTCCTGGACTGTTTTGGGATGCTATGTTGAAAATGACTGATGTAAAATTAGAACTGATGACAGACATTGGTATGTTTCAATTCACTGAAAAAGGAATACGTGGTGGCATCTCATATATAGCCGATCGATATGGAAAAGCAAACAATAAATACGTCAAAGAACTGTGGTGAGAAGGTACCCTCAAAGTATACTATGTATCAGTTTATGAGATACATAATAAACCATAATATGATATAATATAATTGAGTGAAATAGCTATTAATAAAGTCAGTTTAGCTGAATACACAGAAGAAAATGAAAAAGGATTAATTCTTGATGTTGATCTCAAGTACCCACAGAATTACACGATGGTCACAACGACTACCCACTTGCCGCCGGAAAAATCTGTGTTTTTGAAGATATGCTTTCAAATTATTGTTAACAAATAGGACAGAAATACAATAAAAGAATTGGGAAGGTCAGAAAACTAGTTCCAACATAGTCTGAAAAACAAAAATATGTACTTCACTACAGAAACCTTTAACTATATTTCAATCTTGGATTAAAGATAAAGAACAATCCAATCAGTCAGCTTGGTTGAAGTAGTGTATTGATTTTAATACACAGACTGGAAGAACTGCAGCCAAAAACTCATTCGAAAAATGATTTCTACAAGTTTATGAAAAAAAGCTTATTTGGCAAAAAAAATTGAAAGACAGCTCAAAGCCAACATTTGTAAGCAGTAAAATTTTTAATGACAATCATAGGATTGCTATTGTTAGGTCATGTAACAGTCGCAGGATTCTTTCGACCAATCAGCAAGTGTCTAATGTATCGTGCATAAAATCAGCTCCTAAGAAGTAAAAGATACACAGATGCTAACCAGTTTATTTCATCACATCATGAACTTCCTGTTTTTCTGAGAATGTCACGCAATGGTATGCGAGCAAAATTTAAATAGGATTTTTTTTTACTAACAAACTTTACAAGTGAGAATAATAGCAATCTGGTGACTCATTTCTTTGGGAAAGTTCCTTATGCACCATAGACTTCCTTACTCAAAATGTTTTGTGCGCGACTGAGAATACGCCACGGTGACACTGTTTAATTAAGCCCTCCTCTCAGTATACTGTCATGCAAGAGTTCACGCTTGTATTATGGTTTGCGCCTTTCGATTTCGCTACCTGTGAGTTACGTTGATTCCTTGTGTTTCTTCCCAATTACCTGTTTCCTGTCTCATTTTATCGGTCCACGATGGCTACTTGGAAAATTTCTAAAAAACCAAGTGATCGACCTGATTTTTCAGAGTCCTTGTTGTTTAGTGACGTAGTTTTTGTGGTCGAAGATAAAAAATTCCACGTCCACCGGTATATTCTTGCACAATGGTCGCCTGTATTTAAGACGATGTTCTTGTCTGGATTTAAAGAAAAGAACTTGAGTGAGATTCCTCTTCCGGGCAAAAAGGCGAGTGAGTTCAAGGAACTTTTGCTGCTCATTTATTCCACTGTATCTGGCGAAACTCTAAATGCCATCAACGACACCAATTGCCAATCTTTGCTCAGGCTCGCTCGAGAGTATCAAATAGAAGCTATTTATAAGAAGTGCGAGGAACATATCGTCAAAAGGATAAGAAATGCACCAGGAAATACCTTCATGGCAGACATGATATTTGCACAGACCTGTAACTTTGAGAAACTTCTTAAAATCAGTGTCGAGAAAGCTATTAACCACTTACGGTTGGATGATATTAAGAGGCATGAGATGTTTAATCAAATCGAGCCACAGATTTACAAACAAATCTTGGAAGGAATCATTCAAAGACTTGAGGAGCCAGTAACCTGTGGTCACTGCGGTTTTAGAGTTACCGTTAGGAGAAAAGAACTCCCCAGCTACTATTAGTAGCGGTAGATATTATTAGAACATGAAAAATATGCAAAATCTCAAAGGTCAACTTTTATGTTTTGAAAGCCTCGATAACAGAATAGTTTAGATGCTCACTTTAGAGAGATATTTCGATTCAGAGAACTGATGACACAGCTGGCGTCAAAGTGATATTAGGCACTTTACGATTGGTGGAGGAAGACAGGGGATACGAACGAGAAATCATTCAAGGACATACTTAAAGGACTGAGCAAAGTGCTATGACCGACGAGAACCAGACTAAACCAAACCCAGTCAGCTGAGTAATTAATCATGTGACCTCAAATTCTCAATGATCTTTATGCTATCATTTGCAAGCACATAACTAGGGCGGACTTCATATACATAATTATATGAAAAGCGCGCGCTAGACAATAATAAACAGTATTCTTCATTAATTAGAAACTTTTGTTAGTTCCCTGGACAAGAAACTCGCAATTTTTAGAAAATTTCTCGGCCTTTACTTAAATATAATGAAAGAAAAGTTGGCCGATGGGATTGCAGTATACATAATGAACACCTGGAGCCATAAATCAAATATTAAGTTTAAAGCCTCCAAATTCAAAGACTGGGAACTCAGAGATCTTGTCTTTCTCTATAATTGAATTTCCGGATATACCGACACAAATATTAGGACTACACTCACCCGAACGATCAAACTACACTACTGCATAAATGTTGGTCGATATGTTATTTTAGTCACACATGGCTGATCTCGCCCTACCCTCGCACTAAAACCTGCTCACGGTAAAAACGCAACTTTCTAGGCCTCATTTTTCAATAGAATTGTAAAACGCTGGAACATTATCTGCAATCTCCCCCCTCATGACAAGTTTTGGTCTAAGTACGTTTAAGAGCGCTTGTCTGTAAAAATCAGACAAATTCTAAATTTCGCGGCGAGGGTGAAACATTCGATTTCTTCCTTATTTTAATATTAGATAGGCTAGACTATAACTAAAATCCCTGGATACTTTTTTTGGCAAAATATCTTTTTATTTCAGAGAAAAATACAAATAACAAAATTCATTAAAATCGTCATTTTTAGAAGCAAATTATTGCACAAGTTTGAGGGCTTCGCGTTCAAAAACGAATCACTATCTCGTCTTTTTAACACTCAAATCTTCTTTCTTAACCTCATAAGACCTCACAAACGATTTTTGTCAACACTGCGTTCCTCTTTGCTTGTAAAATAATTTAAATTCGAAAGCATACATTTCTCTTCAGTAAAAGTACTTTGTGAGTAAAGTTAATTTTCAGCATGTGCTAAACCTTCAAATGGATTAAGCTTTTGGCGGTAGAATTGCGAAAAGATGTTCTCAATATAACTGTAAAAATTTGTTTGGGCAAATGATTGAGAGCGATACAAAAGCTTTTCAAAGTCCGTTAAGTGCAGTTATTTGACCTTTCGCGGTCAACATTCCAGTCGCGAGTCACACACATATTTTAATATGTTTCAACCCATATGAGGCCGGAAATGTACATGAGTACACATTTCCAAATGCTCCAACTTCATTTGCCGTAAAAGAAACGTCCAAAGACAATTCTACTGTGGTTATCTAGTCGCTCGTCGTATTTATAACGTCCGATGAAACTGTCTGTCAATCTGCGAACTGTCACCAACCTTCGTTGTAAAACGTTTGACATCTTTCTGCACTGTGGCATCTTATCCAGCGGTTCAGTTGACTGTGAGTTTTGTTCGGTTTGTGGTGCAGTAGATCTGATCGATGCTTTTAAAAGTGGCACTTCACATGTTGCAGTCAACGTAGTGTTGTATACCGACAGTCGTCACGCAATGCAAATCATACAATGGAAAGTTATTTTTCAGGGAGTAGGGGAAGGGGAGAGTAAAAAGACGTCACTCTGCTGCTTTTTTTTTTTTTGTTCTTATGGACATCGAAATCTCTTACATGTTAGTAGCGGAGATCGGGCCTTTGGCTAATACTCGTTAAAAAGCTAGATTTAGTACCTGCTAAAAGTAGTAAGCCTAATGCCCCATTCACACCAAAGCTTAAACATGTTTAAAAGTTGTTTTGTTAAACACAGTTTAATTTTTTTTTTCTTCATAGAAACTATTTAACCGAATATTTTTGACTTGAATGTAGCACATTGGAAATGCAAGTTAGCAAGTACTTGAATCCAATGGAAAATCAAGTTTTTCAGTTCTCTGTTTATAATTTTCATTCAATGAAAACCAGTTTAACAAAACATGTTTTGCTGGTGTGAATGGGGTATAAGTAAACAAAACCTGGTTTATGGTAATTACACGATGCCTATCGTTTGCTTAGAGGCGGGGCTTCGGACTTCGTTTTTCACAAATACACTGACTTACACGGTCAACTTTGTTACATAAAAATGGCAGGTTGTTGTTCGTTCAAGTCGCTTATCGGCGGAGTTTGTTGTTGCAACACTAGAGATCGAAAGCGTGAAACGGAAATTGTTCGAATATCGAATATCGCAAGTCATAAGTCGGCTTTCAAATTTACCGGTCCTGAAGATGAGATCGACCTAATTTTGTGCCGAGCGCACATATGTCGGCCCCTCTGTAGTTTAAGGTTTTAAACGGTAGTTGGGTCTGTTAACAGTGGTTAATAGTACCGCTCCCTTTTGCCACGGAACATAGTACCCCTGCCTCGCATAAGCCGCACATCCCCACCACTGCGTTTTGTAGCATGGTGCAGTAAAAATGTACAAAAGGTTATCTTTCATGCTATTCGGGGTATTCCTTGCAATTTTAGTGGAAAGAAAAACACCCCTTACGAGTACGAAAGGCACAGAACGCCAAAAAAACAAGAATAATAAATGTCTGTCACCAGACAAAGATGACACTACTACAAAAATGGTTACAGAATAAACTATTTTGTAGATTCCAAGAGTTCAATTCTGATAGTGCTTAATTATATGGAATTTTGCCCTTCACCTACCCGCTAAAGTTCCTTTGTCACCGATATTGCGTGACAAACCAACACTCAAAAGGCGTACATGTTTGTAGTCAACTCAGTTTAGCATTGAACTAGACCCTGTGAGCAGGGTAACTGGGATACCTGGATGGCACTGGATCCTTGGAATCAAGTGTAGTGATACTACGGGTGTCGGACTAGTATACTGAAATAGTGCGCTCGAGTCTGGCCAAGGGCATACACCTATTGTAAACATAGGCATGCTATGCATGCAAGAGTTACTTTTTTGTAGGGTGGCTGGATTACTTGAAACATTGTGAGTGATGTCTACATTCTTACAAAAGGAAAGAAGATTATTAATGTGGGAAATAACGAAAATGTCGAATTACCTCACTCACAGGTATTTTGTGGTAGATAATGTGTGTTGTGCGAATAAATGTAACCAAAAATAAACTGTATTTGTGCCACGGATACCTGTTAGTACAAAATGCAGACCGGATACAAAATATAGACTGCAGACTGCAGAGTGGGTACAAAATGCAGACTAAGACTCTGAAGAGTTTTTACGTCTAGTATATAATAACATGTCATCTTGCAGCTTACCGAGCGTCACGCAATCGCTTTTCTGCGATCCGCCTTCACGATTATTTGCACTATTGTGAGATATTCCTGACCTATTTCTTGATGAAAATCGATCGCAATATTACTTCAAGCCTTCAATATAGTCTTCTTACTTTGCGCGCGAGTTGGTTGTTGTGATGTCTTACAGATTTTACCAACGTAATAAAAGTAGATGACGTGAATAATAGTGATGGTAAAGCAAGCTTAAAACGGTAGAAATCGCCAGAAGATACAACGGATACACAGGGTATGAGTAAGTTTTATTGATTTTACGAGAAAAATGTTCATATTTCGAAATATTTATCGTTGTAAATCGACCATATTTCGTTCCCTGTACTATTCCTTATAACGTGCAGTTCCTCTCGTAACTTAACACCGAGTCACACAACGCGTGACGTGTTCATGAATTAATCGTTGGCTTTTTCTCGAGACGTGACCTTGGGCTGCCTGTGACAAAACAATTGCGTAAACAATATTTAACATAATAACATTATACACAAAAAAACACAAGGTTTTGGATCACGTATTTATTAAAAAAGAATATTCATACAACTACAATGAAAACAAACATAAGATTCACCTTCCTGATCGTGAAATTAATACCATTCGTACTGTTATCGTAGCTACGTTCCTTGCCATCAAGTGAATCCAACATGTCGTCTTTCTTCACAAGCAGTTTGCATCCCATATAGTTATGTTCTTCAGTCTCACGGTAGTAGCGTTGTTCAATAGATTGCATAGAGTATATGCAGTTTGGTTTCAGATTTCAGATTTTGCTTTTTACAACAAGTGAACGTTTTTCAACTAAGACATTGGCATACTTGGCATACAAGGCATTCAAGGCTTTCATGGCTTTCAAGCGTTCGCGACTCAATCCGTTCCAAAATTACCGCTCAATAACATCTTTCAGTGTGGATTAGCCGCGATTAATACGACTTGTATATGCGTCTGTAAGTATTTTGCGCGTTTGCGCTATAATGCTCCAGGAGATCGCAATCCAAATACGTTGAAATACAACACAACTGACGAAAGAGTTTTATAAGCAAAATCTCGTGTTCGTCATGTGACTCGGCCCTGTCTGTGCATGACAACGTCAATCATCATCAAGATAACACGCGTGATCAGCATGTGAACAACTCATTGGATCACAGTTAGTTGTCATGGTGTTGAGGGATAACACACGTGATCAGTACGTGAACACCTCATTGGATCACAGTTAGTTGTCATGGTGTTGAGGGCCCAATGACCTCTGGGTACTATTGCGCAATTTTTCCATTTTGTGGCGGAAAAAAAAAAAAAAAAAAAAAAAACGACGAAAAAAAACAAAGGCATTTTATGACTGGGCTACCACAGGTATCCCAGTAATTAGACTGTCAGATGTAATCTTTTAGTGCATTGTAAACTGAGCAATACTCGCAG